TATTTCCTATTAACTTGATTTTGAAGCCCTGTATTGCTTTTACTATCTTGTTTTGACCGATTTTACTCTATTCTGTTTTGTTTGCTAGTATCAAGTCTGAGGATATAGGCAACTGCTTTGAAGACAATATGATTCACTATGATACCCAGTCTGCTCTATTAACTTCTTTTGAAGTCGTGTAATGTCTCCAAAGTTTCATCTTTATTGGTTTTGTTCTGTACTGCTTTGTTCAATTTCATGATACCTGATGATATGGGCAATTCTTTTGAAGATAGCAAGAGGCATTATGATAACCATTGTTGATCACATTGTATTTTGTTTTTATATCATGTACTATGTCCATCCTTTTGTTTTGACTGACCCTATTTTGTTTTGTTACATTTGGTTTTATTCTCTTCAAAAAAAAAGTAGTAAGAACTGAAGGAGTAATAAAACCAGAATGTGTAATTGTTATTTTAAAAAACAGAGGGAAAGAAAGTGCTCTAAAAGCTGTAACTGCATGTATGGTTAAGTGTGTAAGACAGATAACCATATTACCAAGTTTTGTTGGATTGTTGAACAGAACTGTTTGCAGTTTCACTATCTGAACGTCTACTTTGTATGCTTTAATTTTGTAGTTTGAACAACTATTTCTAAGATGATAATATGTAATCTACCATCTAGTGATTTATTTTTTTTTAAATTCTGTATTATTTCTACCCTTTTTTTCTTTTCTTTTTTTTCTCTTTAAGTAAAATTTTTTAAAAATTTAAAAATTTTAAAAATGACTACGGGTACAGCTCAATGGTAGAGTACCCCTGGATTCAATCCCTAGCAAGTAGGAAGGAAAAGGAAAAAAGAAAACAAAAACTAAAAAACACAGGTATTTCAACAACAAAATTTCAGTAGAACAGTAAAGCCTTTAATAATTGCAAAGTAGGAAAAGTAGGAAAGAAAAACAAACAAACAAAAAAAGCAGCTATTTCAACAACAGCAAAATTTCAGTAAAACAGTAAACCCTTTAATAATTGCTTTGTGCCAGGCATGGTGGTGCATGACTGCAATCTCAGCACTTGAGAAGGTGTTATATTTGTGTCTGAGTGTCCCGACAGAATCTTGTGCAGTCATGGAGGCAGCTATATCTAGCATTTGTGGTTGGTTTATTGTCTAGCACTGGGATTGGCAATGTGAGTGCTGCATTTGTCCAAGATTAGGTAGTCAACATACGATATAAAAGAGGAAGGAGGCGTGCTTTTCTCCTTTTACCCTTTTTACTGTGGTCACTTCTGGTATCTGCCACAGCCATCATGTTGCCCTTTAGTCATACCACCCTGCCTTAGGGCCAACTGATTACGAACTGAAATTTCCACAAACTGTGAACTGAAAAACCTTTCCTTCCCCCATTTTGGGTGTTAAGTATTTTGTCTCAGCAACAAGAGAAAAGTAACCAAAACAGGCAGCGAGTCAAGAGGATGGCAGTGAGTTCAAGGTCAGCCTGAACTGCATAGCAAAACCCTGTCTCAAAAAAAAAAACAGGGGCTGGGGATTTAGCTCAGCAGCATAAGCGCCTGCCTTGCAAGCAGGCAGTCGTGAGTTCGATCCCTGGTACCGATAAAAACGAAAAAGACAAAAAAAAAAAAAACCCTCCTGCTCCCCCCGCAAAAAACTGCTTTGTAATTATTTTGTCTCAAATACTAAATTCCTCTTTTACAACTTTAAGTGAATTAACTTTAAAATAAATCTGTTGCAAACTACCAATAGTTGTGCATTTGAGGATACAGCTCTGTGCTGTAACATCTGTGCAACACGCATGAGGCACTGAGTTCAATCCCTAGCACCACTACTACAACAACAAAATAGTTTTTATACACACAGACAATCCCTAGCACCACTACTACAACAACAAAATAGTTTTTATACACACAGACAATAAAAACTAAAATAGGGGCCTTGGAGGTTGTCTTGCCACCAGTTCAGAGTGGGGAAATTCACTTGGGATTTAGGCGCCCCAAGGAAGAGACACAGATCCATGGACTGGGTTAACAAACACCTTTTATCCAGCTAGTTAGTTAGCCACAGTACATCTGTCAGCCGCTCCTGCGGGCCCAGCCACTGTATGAGTACTCACAGCAGTCTTTGCTCCCAGGAGTCTACACTAATACCAAACTACACAATGGTGGCTACATGCCAACACCAATCTCAGTTACATTGTGTGAGTTATTTCTGCCCATCAGCACTGACCCTGGCTACAGAAGTTAATGGCAATGGGTAACAGGAGAGGCACCTACACTAGAGTTCGGCTGACCAAGAACCCACTGCCTCCAGATCTTTTTCACCTCATAGAACTACCTCCTAAAACCTGAGTGCTGTTATCAACCAAAACACCCTGATGAAAGGCTACATAACCTGAAGTCACATTTTTACTGTACTTGTTCTTTGACTCCACTGAGTCCTCCAGGCCCTCTTGCTCCAATATTTCCTTCAAATCTACATGCCTCTGCACCTCTAGTTTGACTACTATGTTCTCCAGCTTCAATCTCGTTATTTTAAAACACTTTAGAAAATGACTGGCCTCTTTTTACACCAATATGCCTACCTCTTATCTCTCAAAATGTTCTATCTGTACCTACGTTCTCTACTGCATTACTCAGGTAATTTAGTTATTCACTTGTCTACATGCTTTTGTTCTTCTCCATCCAAATCAGAATCCCAAAATGTCAAGGACCAACTACCCATATTTTCAAGACACAGGATGGTGAACATTTTCTAAGACAACCATACAGTCTCACCTACTCAGGAAGCTGCAGCAAAGACTAATTTAGCCAGGGGGTTCAAAGACCTGCCTGAGCTAAAAAATGAAACAACCAGTCTCAAAAAAAAAAAAAAAGGGTAAGAAATAGTAGGGAGTGAGACAGTCTATAAAACCTCTATATTATAATAAAACCTCTATATTAGCACTTACCATTATACCATCATTATAAAAGTCTTACACCAAATATTTCAAACACAAGCAAACAAGTCTAATGAACTTAAGAGTATGTTTACTTCATTCATAGTATGCTCATTTTATAAATTAAAATAAAGCTCTGTTGTTCAAAATAAAATACAAAAAGCCATTTTAGGCTCGACAACAAAAAGTTAAGTTGTAAGTTTAGTATATGCTAACAGTAAAATTCAAATAGTTCTCACATACTTCTAGAATCCAAAGCTAAACAAACAAGTAAATGCAATGTTTTTAAAATAGCATTCAACAACATCTGCAAGTAATTCATAAAATGCAAATTCTAATTTATTCAGGCAGGGACTGATAAGTGCGTAAGTATTACACTACATTCAACATTTAATAATTGCACTTTGAGCAACACAGAAAGACATAAATACAACCACACAGTGAACACCTCTAAAACTAGACACCACTCATGAAATGAGCAGAAGCCCATTAACATAAAATTTCAAAATAAAACAAAAAGAGATTTCTCTCTTCACATTTTATAAGACGACTTATACTTAAGAACCTTCAGTTGGGGGCTGGGGATTTAGCTCAGCAGCATAAGCACCTGCCTTGCAAATGCGCAGTCATGAGTTCGATCCCCGGAACCAAAAAAAAAGAACCTTCAGTCCATGATTGGGGGGTAGGGTTACTGGGGATCAAATTCATGATCTTGCACTTGCCAGGCACTCACTGCTGGGCTATATTCCTGGCCCCCAGTTCCCCAGTTTGTGGTCTTAAAAAGCTTAAATAAAGTCTCACAGTGTCTCTTTCTAAAACCGCTGACTAGACTGAATCTATCATTTTTCATCAGCAATTCAAATGACAAATGTAAGTCAGGTCCTTTATTGTCACTTTATCACAAACCACTTTCCTCATAAAGAAGTCAAAATATATATACTTCCTCCTTAAGATCTAAAATAAGTATATTTAGATTGTATTAACTGCCCTAAACTTGAGCATAAAGTTCTTCCTAGTACTTCAGTCATCAAAAAATTTATATCAAAACCACTTAAATTTTTTAATTTACCTTGGGAAAAAACATAAGCTCAAACCAAACGTTCTTAAATATACATTAGCATTTCCCAGATCCTAAATACTTACAAATTTGAAAATACTTAAGTGATCTTATTTCTAAAGACAATCTACATCAAAACTAGTTTGTATTAACAGTGTAAAAATTACTTTTTCCCATTTGAGGAGGTTCTTTTATCCTCACTTCTATTAAACAAAAATCATAGTATCTTTTTACTATACTAGCAATATTTTCTACTGTATTTCTATTACAAATCGCCAGGGATTTAGCTCAGCAGTGTAAGTGCCTGCCTTGCAAGCACGCAGTCATGAGTTCAATTCCCGGTACCAAAAAAAAAAAAAAAAAAAAAGAAATTACAAATCAAGTACGAATAATTACACAATATTCAGTTTTAGCCTATTAAAAATTAATCACATCCTTTAAGTAAAGAATGTTAAGCAGAACAATAGGTAAGTCAGAAGAAGATAGATTAGTACTTAGACAAGGTTTTAGTGTTTTAAATTAAAACACAAAAGTACTCTCAAACAAATGGTGTAACGTTTGGCTACTAGAAAAATAATATACCATTAGTACCACTAAAAAAAGAAAAATCAGCCAAGACTGCAGAACTTCAAAATTGTTCTACATGAAGGAGAAAAGCTAATGCAATCGTTACTTACATGTGAAGTAATCAATTAACGATATGTAGCAAAAAACTATTATTGCTGAAGTCACCTAAAGATTTCATGAAATAACAGTTAACACATGCAAAAAAAAAAAAAATCACTCCCATGGTTTCAAATTGCATTTTATCAGTTGCAATGGGTAAAACCATATTCACAAATATGGCATTACTTTAAACCCACTTTGAATTAATACTTTTTCTTAACCAAAATTTTTCTATATTTCCATGCCTCCTTTTATTTATCAAGAATTTTACCTAAAAAGGCAAAAATAATTTTATATTAGTTTCTACAGCTGATGTGCTACACATTTAGCAACAACAAATCCACTTACTTTTTTCTCTTTCTCATGATGTTTATCCTGAGAGTGAGAAGAAGAATCACTTAAACTTTGATCATATGACCTATTAGATCCCCGTTTGCTCTTTTTCTAAAAAAGAAAATATATATATATACATATATGTATATGTATATAACATTTTTGAAGAATTTTTCTGTCAGGTTTAATTCAACTATGAAATATTTTCAAATGTCTACTAAAATTAAAGTCACTTTTTCAATTGATATAATTCAGTTTAAACACCATCCATTGCAATATAAAGAAAAAACCTAACTTTAATATTAATGCCATATTTTTGTATGTTTATTAACATATGTGAAAATAGATTAGATCAATTTTCTGTGTCTGCTTTTGGGGGCAAAAAAACATTTGAACCAAAAGAGAAAATGTCGTATTAAATAAGGATGCCAAGACTAGAAGAACAGCAAAAGTAAATACTTGAAGAGTTACTTTACACTAATAAAGCAAGCTTTTCATGTTCTACTTTCAGTATTTCTGGGGTTCATTAAGAAAAAAATTAAAGGAAATGCCAGTATTAGACCCATGCATTTTTAAAGCATTACTAAAAGCATTACACACTGCTGTTAAATTCTTACACCACTGCAGAATGAGGAATGAAGATGAAAGTTATGTGGAATGTTTGTTGGTGGTATCATATCTAATTAAACCAAATTAAAAATTACTATAAAAGATGTTCAAGATTTATACAAATCCATTCAATCTTGTTATTAAATAGACTTTCCCAACTAGTAAATGGGTAACATTCTATCAATAATTAGCAGTAAGAAAACTCTATGTGCAAACTTCAAACTCCTGTTATTTATTTAGTTTACGAGTATCATCACTCACTTAGAAAGTCAAAATTCTAGTAAGCTTTTAAACACCCAGGTAGAATAATATTCAACTTTACAAGCTCAAAATTACTCTTAAAATAGCTACACATTTTTTGTCATTAAAGTAAAAGCTTTAGCTTTAAATGTTATAAACATGCTCCTAAGCACATTTGTGTCTTTTAAAAGAAAATATTCTAGGAAATATGCTATTAGGTAATCTCACCATTGTATGAACATCATCAGAGAATATACTTACACAAACCTTGATAGTATAGCCCTTGACACACCCAGGCGATGCAGTACACTCTACTGTACTACAAATCTACACAGCATATTACTGTACTAAATATCCTAACCACTCTTAACACAATGTTAAGTATTTGGCTATCTAATACTTCTCTATAGGACATCATCATACATACAATCCATCATCATTATGGAGCATATTCGATATGCATGAGCCAAAATATGAGAGGCATAGGTTACTTCTCTCATAAAACATGAGTGCCTCATAACATTATTCTTTTAAAAGAAGAAAGCGTGAAATAGCCCCATTCACAAAGGAAAAGCAATACTTGAAACAGACACTAAAAGAAAAACCAGTCTTTTATTTTCTTTTTCTTTTTTAGGGTACCAGGAATCGAACTCAGACGTGATGATCGCGAGGCAGACACTGTGCCACTGAGCTATATCTTCAGCCCAAGAAAAACAAGTCTCGAACCTTCAGTGTACAAACTTGTATCATTAAGGACTGAGAAAACAGATAGCTTAGGACATTAGGAAAATACTAATACTCCAAACGAACTATATTTTTACATTAAAATTTAAGTTAATCAAATGCTGCTAACTCAATCATCAATGCCACTGTGTAACAGCAAAGCTTGAGTAAATCTAAAAAAATTTTTAAGTTGAATTTAAATATTATCCCTCAAGGCCTTTAAACCAAGCTATAAAATAAGTTACTTCAGTTTTCTATTTCCTACTACCCAAAAATGAAAATAAATAATAAACAATGCAATGGATTAACAGTAATGAAACAAAGAAAACAGGGATAATGAATCACAAAATAAGTGCAAGCCAAAAAACAAAATAACTGAAAATAATGGTAAAACAGTCCTATGCAAATTGATTTTTCAACTAATGAATAACAAAATCTATTATCAACCATTAATATATATTCTAGACTACAATATTTTAGAATATCCACCTTTACAAAAAGACTCACACAAAGTAAAATCTCTATAGTACTAGATCTCTTCATTTCCAATAAGAGCATGCTAAACAAGTTTAATCTTAGGCAAAAACCAAAGCAAAAGAAACTGCTATTATGTCTTTTTCTTTTTATAAGTGTCACTGTATTAGCAAAACAAATTATCCTTTCAAATTTGTAAAATTCAAAACTTATTCTTACCAGCTTACTAAAATGGTATTTACAGTAGCCACAGTATTGGACGTTATCTGCACCATTACCTTCTTCTTCACAAAGCAGTCCAGCAAACTGAGCACTGAAAGTAAAGGCCAATTTTATCAATAAAAACTCAAACCGTACATAAGAAAACGAAATTTACTTCTAAACATGAAACACTTAAAGAAAATATATCTTCTAAGAAATAAAAGGGAAACAAAAACTTTTATTCTAGTTGTCACCTGAACCTGCAATTGGGTTTTTTTTGCTTTTTTTTTTATATGTATATGTACATATTGCAATTGTTTTTTTTAAATGGTTCAAAATAAACTTTTCCAAAAAGAGAACAAAGAGCTGGGGATATGTCTTAGCAGCATTGCCAGGCAAGCACAAGGTCCTGAGTTCAATTCCTGATACCATTTTTAAAAAAAGAAAGAAAGAAAGAAAACAGGGAAAGATAAAAATGGAAACAAAGTTTGTGTAAATACTGAAGAAAGGAAGAAGGTTTGAAGGGAGATGAGGGGGATGAGGAAAAAAAGCAGCAAGTACAAATTCCCTATGATGAATGTGATTGTTGTGTATATCAAAAGAGCACCAATGAAATTAATTTAAAAAAATAAACTTTTCCTATTTTTCTATCAAGGACAAAGATTACTGAATGTAGAAGTCAGGCTCCTCCTGTAAGAACTAGGCATGATGTCACGTACCTGTAGTCCCAGCTACTTAGGAGACTAAAGCAGGAAGATCAATTGACCCAGGAGTATGACAGCAACATCTCCATCTCCAGATCCCATCTCAAAAAAAAATTTTTTTCCCCTCAAAATTAAAACTTCACACAGGGATTTAGTTCAGCAGCACAGTGCCTGCCTGGCTAATGTAAGGTCCTGAGTCCAATTCCCGGTATGTATGTATGTATGTATGTATGTATAAATAAATAAATAAATAAAAACAATTAAAATTTATTGTATGCCTTCAACCTATGTCATAGATGCAAATAAAGGTGAAGCTACTATACATGGCTAAAACAATATATATACAGATTATGCATTCTTAAAAGGAATACTGCTTTCACTCAGGACTAATTTTGAGGCTTTAAATACTGAGAAGTCATGGCTCAGAAAGAAAAACAAACACAAACTTGGGTTTCTTAGTCAAAAATAATGGAAATGGAATTGAAACTTGAAGTTCTGGTTTTGGGTTAAAAAGATAAAATGCTAACCTTCAAAATCATCATCCTGTCAGTTTGACCTTTCTCATTTACAACATTCCAAAATTACAGTATTAGTACACATCCCATACTCAAACCAGGACTTTCGTCTTTGGAAAATTAGGTATAGCAATCAAGAAACCTTATTAGGGGCTGGGGATTTAGCTCAGCGGCATAAGCACCTGCCTTGCAAGCAGGCGGTCGTGAGTTCGATCCCCGGTACCAAAAAAAAAAAAAAAACTTTATTAAAAAACAAAAAAAAAATCTTTTTTTTTTTTTTTTGCTCTCCAAAAGGTAGTCCAAAACATATTTCATATATCTAAATACTAAGACCTCAACAACTATGCACATGCCTAGAGTAGCAGCTAGGCATATTCTAATTGTTAAAATTAGTAAATACATGGACTATTTCCTAACTTTTATTTCAACTGGAGGTGGGAAGACAGAGCTCTCCATGATGCCCAGGCTGGTCTTTAATCCTGGTCTCAACGATTCTTCATCCTAAATTTTCAAGGTGCTGAAATGCTAGGGCTACAAGAATGAACCCACCACAACTAGACTATCTTGCTTTAAATAATTTTCATCACCAGAATTTTATGATAAAAAAAGAAATTTAAATTTTTGAAAAGTAGCCATGTTACATTCAGAATACTGCTGAGTGTTGTATTTTTCCCTTGAGACAAGTGAACAACTACTATCACTACTAGCAAAGTTTACTTGTATCAGCTCATTTAATCTTAGAAACAAATTAAAGGGTATATAACCCACAACATTATCTGCAACTAGATGGATCTGGAGGAGCTGGGATGTGACTCAGCAATGAACAGCTTTCAAGTATGAGGCAAAGTTCAATTCCCAGAACACAAAAGAGGGTGGGGGTTTGAGACTAGAATTTACAGATCTTGCATTAGAACCAGGATCCACTTATTATAAACCCACTCTAGTACAGTCAGTTGTTTTTAGATTTATCTTTATTACAAATCAGTAAATCTTAACAAACCATTCCAATAAAATGTACTGTCATTCACACTTAGGTACCTAACTGTGACAGCCAATCTTCACTGTCAACTTGGCTTGAAAGATGCTTGGGAGATTAGCAAAGTGTGCTCCTGGGTAATTCTGGGTGCATGGGGAGACCTAATCTTAGGGCCTGTACCTCATCCTTGAGCCCCTTCTGTTGAGCTACTCCCCTCCATAACCTAAAAATCTCTGCTCTGTCACACTCTTTTGCCACTGATGTCTGCAACTTGGAACCAGCAGGCCAGGGACTGAATCTCTGAATTTGTGAGCCAAAAACAAACCCCTTTAAAATGCAAATATGATACATTTTGTCCTAGTGACAGAAAGGTAACAAATACTAAGTCTTCATGATTGTTACACAAATTACTTGTGAATTTCACTTCTGCAGGATAGAAACATACTTACCATGTTACATGGAAAGCCTGTCGACATCCATGTTTATTACATGTCATGCAAGCACCAGTGGCTGCTTTGCTTTCTCTTCCTTGTTCATCACATATGTAGCAAGTCTTAAAACAGAGGAACAAAACCAAAAATGAAGCAAAAGCACTTACTTAACGTGAATCTAAACTTTATAGCTATTTTTAGAAATGAAGATCAGATTTACTAACCTACTGCAATACATGAAACAACAGTCTAAGTTTTACAAACAATAGAAACAGGGAAGCATAAATAGCAACATACAAATAATCTTACTAAGCTGGGTGTGGTGGCTCACCCCTGTAATCCCAGCACTCAGGAGGCTGAGGTAGGAGGATCATTGCGAGTTCAAGACCAGCCTGGGCTACAAAGTGAGCTCAAGGCCAGCCTGAACTACATAGCAAGACCACGTCTCAAAAAGACAAAAATAATAATAATAATAATAATAATAACCCTAGTAAAGTTCACAAAGGCAGTGTCATCACTGATTTCAAGAGCCCTGGCAAGCAGGAAGGTTTTTTACAGACACTGGGGGTTGGGACAGTAGTTCCTAGCTTAACACCTCCTCTAACAGTATTAAAAAAAAAGAGAGAGATATCTTTCCTCTGCTCATCAAAGCCCCAACCAAAAGTTTATGTAAAGAAAAGCCAGTGGAAATCAGAAAACACAGAAAGCACTCCATAGTTTCAAAAAATTAAAATCAGATTATATAGAAATCATAACACTTATATTCTTTTTAAGTGGTCTCTATATATGCCCCTCATGTTACAAAGCACAAATCAATCAAGTAGCCCAGAATTTTTGCAGCTGCAATGCTTTCCTTTGTCACCACTATGGACAAGAGGTGGTAGATACAGGTCAGCACTTTGTACTTCCAGAGAAGAATATATCTGACCTATAATGAGGGTGGAGTGAGGACTGTATACCCTACAACGCTATAGCTGAAGAAATATCAAAACTGAGAACTTACTGTTAAGTGTGCTCTGCTTCTAATATCTGTTTAATGCTTCGTGGTTTTCTACTACCTGTTCCTAATTGGATATCATTGTTGGGGAAATGAACCCTCATTATCCCAATTTCAGACCCAAATTTAGAGGCCCTGCTTTCTCTCCAATCATCCTACCACCAACTGTAGTTACAAATGTGACATATTTAAATGACCCTATAAAAGACCTCAAGTATTTTATACTACTAGCTCATGTAAAGCCATTGATCTTGCAACTGTTACAATTTCTCCCATCTCCATTCCCTCTCTGTGTCTGCCCGTTCTAGTAGAACCTTGCTATCTGCCCTAATAGTAAAATCTAAACTTCTACATTAATTTGTCTAAGAGTGGGGGAAAAGGCTTTTGGCAAAACAGAATGACTAATCCCAAAGCATGAAAGATAGCTGTGAAGGCAACTCCACCCTACCAGGTCATGGAAGGCAGAAACCAAGTCTTTCGTAATGTGCATCAGTCTTTTTCAAGCCACAAAATCCCTATCAAAAAAGCCAGACATGTGACCCTCAAAATTCTCTTCAGGGACACCCATAATATTATGGCACAAAAGATGGTAACTCATGAATATCCAAATATCAGCCTTTTCAACCGGGGGAGTGTATGCCTGTACTCAGTCGGCTCTGGCAGGAGCATCACAAGTTCAAGGCCAGCCTGGACTATGTAGAAGAGTTCAAGGCCAACCTAGAGACTGCTCACAGACCAACAGAAAAACACTTCAGTATTCTGGGCCAGAAGACAGCCTGTGACAGTGAACAAATTCACTCATCTTCTATGTGACTCTTACAACTGCAGAAGTTGTGTCACGAGGCAAAAGACGTTAGGCCTCATTTGTCTTTTTTTTTTAACACTGGGAATCGAACTCACAACCTCACACTTAAGAGGCAGGTATTTATACCACTGAGCTAAATCATCCACCCTAGACCTCATTGGAGAATGCACCAGACTCAGAATTGCAGCCCTCCCTCAATCAACTTGCTGGCACTCTGTTGCCTAGCAAAGTGAACAGGATGCATAACATCCTCACTGCTACGTGGTTGCTATGTGTACAGATGTGTTGTTTCTGACAGGAGTGCACTACGGGCAGAGGGAATCACTATATGTTCCTTTATTACCCACTTAAACAGGGAGATTCAATTCCTTTTTACTTATTCAGAATATCTGACACACCCATACCCCACAAAAGCCTACAGGTCATCATGTCTATTTGTAGGGTATTTTTAACTAAAAGAAAAATAGCTCCAGTATATGGTACAATACATACAGTACAATGTTTATTGAAGTTAAGAGACAAATGAGCTTTAATGTGAGGACTTTGCGAACAAAATAAAAAAAAAGAAAAGAGACAAATGAGCAACAGATGAGACAATTCACAAGTCATTAAGGAGTGTTGGCCCACACTTGCCAACACTCAGAAAGCTGAGGCAGGAAGTCTGCTATGAGTTCAAGGCCAGGGTAGGTTACAGAGTCAGGTCAAACCCAACCTGACTACATAGTAAGACCCTATTTCAGATAAAATAAAATTTTTAAAAAGGCAATTCACAAGAAATACTACCCAGGGCTGGGGATTTAGCTCACTGACATAAACACCTGCCTTGCAAGCAGGCGGTCGTGAGTTCAATCCCCGGTAGCAATAAAAAGGGGGAAAAAAAAAAAAAAGAAATACTACTCAATGAGTAGTATTAACAAGTAATCAAATTAATAAACATTAAAACTGGTAACAGCACCTCAGCACAGGCAATGGAGAGGTTAAAAATGGCATTTTCACACATTACGCATTTAAATAGGGGAAGGGAGGCCTGAAACAATATTATCAGTAATTTCGAAAGAGGTAAAAATTATGCTCACTCATTCTATTTCTAGATTTCCAGTCAAAGAAAATAGTCCACCCCTGGCATGATGGCAAACACTTATAATCCTAGCTATTTAGGAGACTGAGGCAGGATAACTATAAACTGAAATTCACCAAGGCCTTATTTCAGGATGAATGGGTAGGGGTAGGAATATGTGTTAGTGACAGACTGACCCCGGATTTCATCCTAAGGAAGAAAAGAAAACAAGGAAATTGGGCAAAGGCATGAAGGAAGGGAAAAAGGGAATAAAACAACACACTCAAGTTTTGGTGAATCAAGATTTATCAAGTTTTTAAGTGGTAAATAGCCGGATGAAATCAAGGTCCAGTAATATGGTTAAGGAAATTATGGTGCAAACATTCAGGAATAAAAAATTAAAGTAAAAACCCTGGAATAAAATCTATACATTTGGCACGACTACAACTTTTTCTAACTACAGATTTTACAGATCAAAAATGGAATAAAACATACTAAACATGTGCCACTTTGTGTGTTTTGTTTTTTTTGTTGTTTTGACACATGGTCTCACTATGCAGTTCAGGCTGGCCTTGAACACTCTGTGTAGCACAGGCTGGTCTCAAATGTATAACATTCCTCCTGCCTCAGCCTTCCGAGTGCTGGGATTGCAGGTGCATGCCATTATGCCCAGTTTATGCTACATTTTTACTAAATGTATTTAAATATCTGGTATTATGGTTCGTGCTGGATGGCCCCAAGCCTCATGCAATCATGGACACAGCTGAATCTAGAGTTTGTGATTGGTTCATTTTCTAGCACTGAGACTGGTAATGTGAATGCTGCACCCGCCAGGGACAGACCCAGCATACAACATAAGAGGAGGAAGGAGGCGTACTTTTCCTCTTTTGCACTTTCGCTCTTGTTGCTTGTGGCTGCTGTCTTAGTTACTTTAGACAAAATACCTGAAGCCCAAGTTGGGAAAGGAAAGGTTTATTTCTTACAGTTTTTGGAGGTTTCAGTCCACACTCAGTTGGCTCCAAGACACCTGTCTTGGCTGGGCATGGCTGGGCTGCCTTTCATGGCGGCTGCGAGCAGCAAAAAGGAACCTGCAAAGAACAAGACACACCTTCTTCCTGCCATTACATCACATCCTGGCTCCACCCCTATGTGGGTGGAGCACTGACACCATCAATCCAAGCACTAGACAATGAACCATCACAAATGCACAATGCAAACTCATGAGGTCTGGGGGACACAGACATAAACCATGACAGCTGCCATGAACAACTGCCCCTCAGCCATGCCAACTTACCTTGGAACCAGCTGAGTATGGACTGAAACCTCCAAAACTGTAAGATAAATAAACCGTTCTTTCCCTAATTTTAGATGTCAGGTATTTTGTCTCAGCAACAAGAGAAAAGTAACTAAAACATCTCGTAATACTTAAAAGTGCATTATCATCACTGCAAAGCAGAGTATGAGAGTTGCCTCAGCCTTTTGAGTTCTGAGTTTACAGGTGTACCCTCCAGAGTGTTTTTGTAAAGTGTTCTATTTATGTATTTAAGATATGCATTAATTCTGCAAAAGGCTTATGTTTAACCCGACTCTTGAGGCTCTAAATACAAAGTTTAAAACCACAAGTTTAGAGAGTACAATATAGCACAGTAATAGTACTTGCCTAGCACTCATGAGACTCTGGGTTCAAACCCACAACAAAACAAAAACACTGTGGTTTAGAAAAATGTGACTTCTTGCACCTGCCTCACAAACACATGGTTATGAGTTCAATCCCTGGGAACGAACGAACGAATGAAAGAAAGAAAGAAAGAGAGAGAGAGAGAGAAAGAAAGAAAGATCTGACTTGCCTCCAAAGTGTATCTCTCTAACAACAGACACACTTTGTTATCTACAGAATTAATGCAGATTAAAATCAACTATGCAAATCATAATTTATATTTTCAAGTTGTAACAGAATCTACTAACAGCACACATTCTAATTCAAATCTTCTAGTCTTATACATATGAGGGGGGAAAAAGGAAAACTCATTATACAATTATGTTTGTTTCCAAAATCAAATGACCTTAAATCAGCTCTTTTAAGAGTTGCAGTCCAAAAAAAACTCAAGTACATTATTTAAAATACTTTTAGCTTGTTGCCAATGAATAAGAAAGTCTCAGTAAGTTTGTGCTAAATAATAAACTATTTCAATATTAAAATTAAAGAATCAAAACTGAATGTCAGGAGTGGTAGTACACGCCTATAACCTCAGCACTCAGAAGG